GAGTGCTGACCTGTTCTGTCTTTGGTATAAGCCAAAGAATGACCACAGCAGAACCCAGCCCACTGCCAGTAGGAGCTGTTACTCTCAGAAAACTAGGGGGAAGGCTTTGAATGGGGGGTGTCAGAAGATGTGTGTTGACAGGGCAGTTATTTCCTCTTATCCGGGACCAACAGCTCTATCTTTAGAGAGAAAGCGAAAATGTGGGGATACTGGCTGAAGTGAGAATGAAAGCTTGCTTCCTCTCTGCGATGTCTCTGGGTGGGAAGTTTCTGTTGCTTCAACAAGTGGGCTGGAAGGACATATCTGGGGTGCTTAGAGCCACTGGCAGGACTGGTAACAGCTTCTCAGGGGCTTGAACCCCCTCCCCCATTTTCCTTCTCCACCCCTCTGTGGCGACTGTGTAGAGGGGAGTTCGTGAGATAAACTGGGCTTACTAACGGTTGCCAAGGATGGCCAGCTGCTGCCTCCCCGTGCTGCCGCAGTCACACAGTCACTGTGTGGGAAGTTCCTGCCCAGGAGGGTGTTGTGTCTACACTTGCTGCTGGCGTCTCCCTAATTATATTGATTGAGAAGAATTTAGTACAGAATTTGCTGTCCCTGCATCCTCCTTCTTTCACAACATGCACGTTCGTCTCTTCTTGCATTGCTGTTGAAAGAATACAAACTTCATTTCTCTGTCATTGAGCATCATTCAGAAATGTGCAGATCTGTGAATTGTTCCCTGGTCTTCAATCAGCGCAGTGTTACAGGTCCTCTGCTGGTGGGAGGGAGCAGTTCGACAAAATTCTGAAGACCCAACACTTTCTCAGGAGCAGCGAGGAACAGACCGGCAAGCCACAAAACACTGGCACTGAATGGATGTCTTAATAAGCTTTTAGATATGATTTGGCTGGCATCGGCAGAGGAGGCTAAGGGGAAAAGGCTGCAAGCGTTGTACCGTGAATCACTGCAGACCCACCAGCAGTGACAGTTCTGGGAAGCTAATGATCTCAACAGGAAGGAATTAACCGCAGATGTCCAGACAGCACATGGTAAGAACAGGGAGGACAGACCCCCGGATGTGAGTACAATGTCTTCAACACAGGGCATGGAGCAGTGGGAGCAAGCTGGTTGTTATGATTGTGAACGCTCCCTAACCACTGGCTCCCCGGTATCTGGGGGCTGTCTCTGGGTGGGTTGTGTATAATGCCTGGCTGGGACTTTTTATTTGAAGGTTTCATCTGAAATATTCTGCCTGTCAGGAAGCTGAATGTAATGGCTTTGGGGTATTGGAACCAAGAGACTTTGTTTTAAACCTACAGGAAAATAGCAAAAACAAACAACAGACCTTTTGCTATAAAAAGAAAAGCCATCAAAGCAGCTGTGTGACCCTCAGGCATTTAGGATAAGATAAAAGGTTTGGCAAAATGAAGAGCAGTGAAAATGGGGCAGTGGGCTGGGAAGGGAGAGAGTAATCTTCCTTAGAAGCTAAATCCTTTCTAGATGCAGGGTGCTCATTTCATACTTATGCTCATGTATTTATTTCCTTTCTGGTTAAAGAATGAGCAGCATGTTTGCATCGAATATTTTCCTCCAGAGCACTGTGAAAAATGAGCATTGTGACAAAGAAGGATGTGATTGATAGGGTTGGAGAGGAACAAATTCCTCAGTGCTAGCAATTGGAAGTGTCTTGAATGATAGCCATCTACTTGGAAAAGGCTGTTCTGATTTAAGGAGGGAGTAAATCTACAGCCAGGGTACCCAACAGGTTGGCAGTAAAGTTGAACTCATTGGCTACAAACTAGTCACCACCTTGTATTTCTCTCCCCTCCCTGTTCATTGTCGGGGGCTCTCTATCTCCTCATATTCCTTTCCTGCCTGCTTATCTTTGCCTGGCCTGCTTTGCTGGTTTCTAGACGTTGGATGAGAAAGCAGTGTCCTCTCATTCCAAGAAGGGGTACAGGAGGAAACAATGAAAGCAGAGCTTCTGTGATCCCTTTGCACCCACCCTGCATATAAAAGCCACTTTGAGTGATGTTAAATATTATAGATCCTAGCAGTGATAGTATTTCTGGGCTTAAATGAGAGTGAGCTTGAGATGTCCAAGTACACTGTGATGTTGTTAGCAACAGACTAGGAATTGGAAACCTGGGATCCTGTTGCTGATCTTGCAGGCAGCTTTTTATGTAACTTTGCTGGAGTGGTGGGTATCCAAAATTCTGTGTGAGCATCCTGTCCTGGAAGCTGTTTATGGATGTATTTATGTTGTGGTCATGGTAGGGAGGTAAAGAGCATTCTTTAGTAGTTATAACTGAAAAGCTAAAAATAAAATGCTATCTGGTTAGCCAGTATTTTTTTTATTCCTGCTGTAGTGTTTTCTTTTTATCTTCTTTTGTTTGTTTGTTTTAGGGAATATTGGCTGAACTTGAAAAGGGTTGTTTACCATCAGTAATTATATAAGTAAGGCTATCACACTTACACTATGGCCATAGGACAACTTGGGCATTAGATTCAGTATCTAAGAGGCAGAATTGTTGCATGAACCAGGAGAAAGGGCCGAGGGTGGCTATCAGAAGCTGGTTGAACTTTGCATCTGTTGCTGAGGAGGCTGAGCTGCTGGTTTGGAGCTCGTGACGTTAGCCAGGCCTGTATTGAAGTTGCAACAGAGCTCTTTACGCCAAGAAGTTAAACTGGAGAGTAGAATGAGTAGAATTTTAACCAAAACAGTATTGGTATGAATTGGCCCCTTATACTTACATGGCTGTTGTGAAAGGGGTTCAGGAATGGAAGAGAGTGGGTAAGGCCAAGTGTATGGGAACAACAAATGAGCAGATGAAGGGAAGAATGTGGTTGCATGAGGGAGATCATTTAGGAAGTCAGACTAACCTGTGTATTTCCTGCATTTGAGCTTGGGGTGATTTTGCAGTATTTGGGAGAACAGAGCAGAAACTCAATATAGTTGTTTGCTTGTACCACAGATTATCTGAATAAAAAGAGACAGTGTACCTTATGTTGACAGAAATAAACTACTTCCAAATAGTCCAGGAAATATAAAGCTCCAAAATAATTATTCAGCATGGCCACAGCACTTAAAAATGCATTCTGAACTGCATTTCTCTTAGTGTTTTGCATCTCAACTTTATTGGCTGGTTCATTCAGGAGATATTTCTGGCATATCCCAGGGATCACAGACTGCAGCTAACTGAGGTGTCCTCTGCTTCGCAGGATTACTTTTTCCCAGATTTGCTGTGCTTCTGATGAGCTTGGTGAGCAGGAACAGGTCTCTTCTCCTTTACCTATGTTTTGTGTGAAAGATAAAAAATAGTAAGATGATAATAATAAACAAGTGAGAAAGGTATGAGTTACCTTTGTAAAGTTTCAGTATTTACCTTGGATCAGCACTGTGTAATGAAATACCAATTTTAATTCCCACTACAGTCCTGGGAGAGAGATGCTCTGTGTCTATTCCATACATGGGCATTTAACCCTAGTCTCCATTGTGCTTGGCCAGATGAACTTTCTGAATGCTACAGTGACCTCGAGTTTAGATCTCAGTATGGTCCAGACATTCCTAGCCATGTTGTGGTCAGTTCCTTTGCCTTTAGAGATTGAAAGGATAATTGCATTTGCCTGAAAATAACTGTAGAAAATGATTACATCTCCCAGGGTTTCAAAATTAGAATGAGTGATAAGGTCCAGGGTAAAGAACTGTATTCTTTTGCTATGGCATTTCCCTCATATATATGCTGGTATTTTTAATAAGTGCATTTTGAAATACATAGACATCACATACGGTAGTAATCCTCGCTTCTCAGGAGACTAAGGCAAAGGATCACAAGTATGAGGTGAGCCTGGACAATGTAGCAAGACCCTGTCTCAAAATAAATGAAAGGCCATGGATGTAGCTCATTGGTAGTAATTATGGAGCATACATGGGTGCAAATACTGCAAAAAAGATGATATTAAATAATCAAAGAAGTCTTCAGTTCCTTATTCTCCTACCAGGAGTCAATTAGACATGTAAGCATTTTTTTCTGCCCGAAGAACCCTTCACCTTTGAAATATTACCAGTGCCTTTGGTGTGGTCTGATGGGGCTACTGATTGAAGTCAGTCTCTAAAATCCTATCAATTTTGGTCATTTGTTTTTGAAAAAAGAATTTAAGTTTAATATTAGTTGGTACTTCCAAACCAGTGCACAAAGCCAGGGCTTAGTGTCCTGTAGGTGGTTATAGTGGGCCATTCATCCCAGTATGCAAGGAAGCAATACAAACTACCCCTCCCAAATTGGCAGAGCACAAGTTTAGCATCAGTGTTTTTCCAAAGGGGATTATCTGAGCAGTGTGGAGTCGGCCCAGGCCTGTGCCCAGTTCTCCATCTGTTCCAAAACTCGGGAGACTGTATATTTACAGCAAGGAAAGGATGAAGAAAGAGAACTGCAGTAAATGCTGAGAGAGCACACCAAGTGTTGGTTGGAGTATATAGCTCATTGGTAGAGTGCTTGCCTAGCATTATTGGGCCTGGGCTTTAATGTTCAGTACAATAAACAAAATAGAAACCACCCAAGAAGGCACTCTACTTGTCAGGGCCCACCAGCATCCAGACTGCTTGTGGAATTAGCACGTGAGCTATGGTGACCCATAAAACTGGGTCTGAAGGCCGTGGTGAATGCACGGCACAGTTACTAGATGGAGGTGGTGTGTAAACCAGGTGGTGGCTGGGCGGGGTGTATCAAGCCTCTTCTGCTCAGGATGTATGGTAAGTGCAGAGCCAACTTTGCACTCCTGGCCATAACTCCTGGAGAACGTCCCTGAGGAGGGAGGAACAGAGTGGTTCCACCTTCTGCTGCCTTCCACCTGGAGCCCTGTCTGGGGCTTTGCTGTGGAGGGTGTGCTTCCGCATGGCCTGTCTCCCCAGCTTCCCTCCCCTGCATTGTGCACTGGCAGAATGCCCTAAAATCAGAGGTATGGCCTGTCCTTTGTAACGAGAGGCACTGATGGCAGCTTTGTTTTGTAATCCTTAGGTATTGAAGATGGCGTAGGAATAAGTCACCTTCCAATGATTGAGAACCTTTACCTGTGGGCACCTGCCCGAGCCAGCGGCTTCGTGTTGAGCTGACCGAACTTGTCCACTGCTTTCCCGAAAACTCCTTTCTCTCAATTCATGAGCCAGCAAGATGCAGTCGCTGTGCTTTCAGAACGCCTTCTCATAGCTGCGTACAAAGGCCAAGCAGAGAATGTGGTTCAGCTCATCAACAAGGGCGCCAAGGTAGCAGTTACCAAGGTAACAAGTGGAAAATTGCTGTAGCCATTCCCTGGGAGTAGCCTATCTCTGAACCATTGTCCACAAAACTGGTGTTTGGTTTGCACTTTCAGAGAACTGGCTTTTGGTCCAGGGGTGAGGGTTTAAGGCAAAAGAAAGAGAGAGGTTTAAGAACACTTTGTTACCATCTTTCAAATAACAAAATTTGGAATTTGCATTTGGCAGTCTTTAAAAATCATATTGTGGCTTTTTCTCATTTACTTTTTAGCCAGAAGGACAGGATCTCTTGGGAATAGTTGAAACACAAAAGCTTAGTGGTCAAGAGCATTTGTGTGACAATCACATTAGGCAGACTTCCTAGGAAGGTGGGTGGCTTATGGTTGAAGCCCCCACTGCAGAATCTCAGTGTTTCCATCTGTATAGTGAAGGCCTAGATCAGGTGACTGCCACAAACTCTAGGGGCTTTGATTTCACATTGGTCACTGGAAATGCATGGCAAGCTTTGTGGGGCACTCTTACCTCACTAATAGATGATTACATGGCAGACAAGTGAACATAGGAATTTGATAGCAAAGCCAAGAAACAGCAGGCCCTGCAAATATATTGATACATTTATCTGGTTCATAGAATTGCGTAGAACACCTAATAGTCCTCTGGAGGAAGTTCTTTTCTCATCCTTACTTTGAAGATAAGGAAACCATGTGATGTGATCACATGGCTAACTGGAAGATGTGAGTTGTTACTGCTGCCCAGCATCACAGGATGTTACTGCCCTGTATATCACTAGTGCCATCCAGTATACTCACGTGGTGTACAGCTGTCACAGCCTCCATCTCCAAAGCTGCTTTTATCTTTTCAAACAGGTACCCTGTACTCATAAATCATCAACTGCTCTTTCTTCCTCCCACTGCCTGGGACTCACCATTCTACTTTTAATCTCTATGAATTTGACTATTCTAGTTAGTTACGTAGAATTGTATCATATTTGTCTTTTTGTGATGAGATTACTTAGCACAGTATTTTCAAGTTTCTTTGATTTTGTAAATTGTTCCAAATTTCACGCTTTTTTTTTTTTTTTTTTTTTTGGTACTGGGGATCAAACTCATAACCTCATGCTTGCTAAGCAGGCGCTGTGCCACTGAGCTATATCCTTCACTCCTTATTAAGACTAATATTTTATATTTACATCACATCTTGCTATCCAGTTTTCCTTCAGTGGAGACTTAGGCTGTTTTTAGCTTTGGACTGTTTTGAAAAATGCTGTGTGAGTGTGGAGCTAAATGGGTGTTTGAGTCTTTTCCTTTACTTTTTTTGGATATGCATATTTCCAGAAGTGAAATTTTAGATAATAAGATTTACTTTTTTAATTTTTTGAGGACCTTCTAGTTTTCCATGGTGATTGCATTATTTTGCAATCCTACCAAAAATACAGGTAGAATTGCCATTTTTCTATATGCTTGCCAACACTTGTTGTTTTGTTTTGTTTTCATATTTAGCATCCAAACTGGTGTGGGCAGCATCTCATTATGGGTTTGATCTGCACTCCTCTTCTGATGAGTGATGTTGCGCATCTTTTCTTATGCATATTGGCTGTTTGAATATCACCTTTGGAGGAATGTCTAAGTCCTTCTTTACCTGTTTTTGTTATTGTTATTGTTGTTGTTTTGTTCTTGTTTTTTGACACCAGGGATTGAACTCACAGCATTGTGCTTACCAGGTAGGTACTTGAGGCACTGAGCTAAACCCTTGACCTCTTTACCTGTTTTCTAACTTGCTTGATTTTTATTGGTTGAATTGATTTTTATTGAGTTTGAGTCATACTGGTTTTATTTAATTTTTTGGATTGAGTTGTCAAAATTTTTAATCTGAACATGAATCCTTTATCATATTTTTCCAGCATTTTTTCCCATTTTGTGGGTTGCATTTTTAAAGACTTATTTTATTTATTTTTGTCTTTTTGAGATAGTTTCACTTTGAAGTTCAGGCTAACCTTGAACTCGAAGCAATCCTCCTGCCATAGCCTCTCAACTGCTGGGATTACAGGTGTGTACCACCACATCCAACTGAGACTTCATAAATTTTAGATTCTGTTTTTCTTCTCTTTTCTTCTTTCGTTTCTGGTACTGGGAATTGAACCCAGGATCTTCACACTGAGCTTCATCTCCAGCTCTTTTTTTATTTTTTTATTTTGAAACAGGGCTTCACTAAAGTTGCTGACTTGCTGGGCTCCAACTTGCAATTCTCAGGTTTCAAACTCACAAAACTCTGGAATTACAGATGTGAACCATCATACCCAGCCCTAGCCATATGCGTTTAAGTTTACTGTCTGCTTTTTCATGACTGAATAGTTCATTTCTTTGTGGTGGTAAATAATACTATGTGACTATAACAGTTTTTTAAAGAAATACATTTACTCACTATAGGACATCTTAGTTGCTTTTAAATTGTACTAATCATGAGTAAATCTGTTACACTCATCTACGTTCCCATGCAGGATTTTTTTCTTTTCTTTTCTTTTTTTTGGTGGACATGTTTTCGGTTCTAGATGGTGTATACTAGAAGAACTAGATCATGTGATACTATGTCTTGTTTGGAAGTAACTGCCAGATGGTCTCCCAAAGTGGTGGCACCATTGTATATTCCCACCAGCAATGAATGAGAGTTCCTACTGCTCTGCATCTTCATCAGATGGTATCAGGGTTCTGGATTTGGGCCATCCTAATAGATAATGTAGAACTATCTTGTTGGTGCATACTGATTGCCTCTTCAGTGAATGTGTCCTTTGATGAACAAAATTTTAAAGGTTTTTAAAGTATTTTTCCATTTGTCTATTTTTGCTTTTGTTGCCTGTGCTTTTGGTGACATAGCCAAGAAATCATTGCCAAGTCCAACTCCTTATGTTTTCTTTTAGAAGTTTAATTACTTTAGATCTTTTGTTTAGGTCTTTATTGCATTTTAAGTTAATTTTGTATATGGTATAAGGGCCCATCTTCATTGTTTTGCATCTCAGTATCTTAATCTCAAGTTTTAAAATATTTTTTATTGGGGCTGGGGATTTAGCTCAGCAGCATAAGTACTGTCTTGCAAGTGTGTGGTCGTGAGTTCAATCCCTGGTACCAGTAAAAAAGAAAAAGACAAAAAAAATTTTTTTATTTTTCAAAATCTTGATTAGTGTGTGATAATTGTTCGTGTATATGAAGCACATCATGACATTTCAACATATGTATATAGTGTGCACTGATCAAATCAAAGTAATTAGCATTTCCACTTCCTTACTACTTTTTACATTTGGAAACTTTAAGTCCTTGTCTTCAAGTTCTTCATAAAATATACCATAAAGTATTGTAAACTGTAGTCATTCCTCTGTGCTATAGGACAATAACAGAATTCCTTCTAACTAATTGTGTCTGGATTATCATTATTCAACCTCTCCGTGCTCTGCCCTCTTCCAACTCTACTAATCGCTATTCTACATCCAGATCTGCTCCCGCCTGCCCCCACGTTCAGCACATGAGAGACTACATATAGTGCTTGTCTTTTCACCAGCACCGTTTATTGAGGGCACCATCTTTTGCCTGCTCAGTAGTTTTGGTATTGATGTTGAATAACATTTGATCATACACAGGGTTTATTTCTAGGCTTTTTATTCTGTGCCAGCAGTCTGTGTTTATCTTTTTGCCAGTACCATACTGCTTTTTTAAAAATTTTATTTTGAATGTAGTAAAAATAAAAATACAACAGAACCAGACAGAACAAAGCCAATCAAGACAATGTAGTGACATTGCTACAGAACTTCAAAGCAGGATACTGGGATTGTAGCAACAGGTACTATAGTATATCTCATTATCTTTACAATAGTTATTCAAACCAATAACAGGACATTGTAAAACCAACTGAGGGAGAATATTGAATAGAGCAAAACAATCATTACAAAGCATAACTGTGAAAATAACCCTTGCCTTCAAACAGAACATGGAAGAGAATCCTCTATATTTGCTATATTGCATATGGTCATCTTCCCAAGAGATGCTCAGAACTCTGTCCCCAGCTGCTGACCCGGGCGGGATGGGGGGAGGGGAGATGTTTGATTCTTAGCCCGCACACCAGTAGGCTCATGGGAACAGCTGACTGGTTCTCCTGCCGGCTGGTGCCAGGGGTTACCAAGAGGGCGGGCAGATTGCCTTCTTGTGCAGCCACCCGAGTCCCAGTGGCCCTGTCCAGGTGCTTCCCATACTGCTTTTACTCCTATAGTTTGTAATATGTTTTGTAATCAAGAAGTGCGAGCTTTCCAACTTTGTTTTTGAAAATTTTTTGGCTTCATATCACAGATTTTGTTTTAAAAGCAGATCTGTAGCTGGTGAGACATGTGGTGCTGTTCACTTAGGAACCAAAAATGATCACATTTCCTTTTTGGTAAAGTTTAATGTTTTTCCTGGAGTTGATAGTTGCTTTAATTTTTCATTTGATACAAAGTTGTTAGTGTTTGCTATCAAATAATTCTAAAATAGCTCTCACTGTAATTTTCCATTATTAAACCTCTTACATATTTACTCTTCGTTTTCTCTTCCTGGAAATGGTTTTAGAGCCATCTATCTTTTGTTCTCATTTATTCAGCTTGCCCTCTAATTCTGATGCACAAAGTTATCTTGAGAATTCCATTTTCTTCCCGACATCAGATCCTCTGCTTGGAACCATGTTATCCTTAATTTCCTGGTGCACATTCTCTGGTATCTTCCCAAGAAAGGGAATATGAAAGATAAATGGTCTGAAAATGCCTTTATTCTGCGCTCGTTTAATTGACAAGTTGATTTGGGAAAGTAGGCTGAGAATTGCTTCAGTACTTTGAAAGCAGTAACCCATTGCTTTTGAAAGTATTGCTATTGAAAAACTCAGTGTATAGAGTCACTTTTGCAGCTACTTCCTGAAGAGGCTTTTACATCCCCTTTTTCCTATAAGGCTTGACTGTCTTGGATTCATTTCAGCTCAGGGGCTACCACTAATATGAAGTCCATCTAGAGTTC